AAAAAAATAAAAGGTTTTTTTTTTTTTTTTGGGTTTTTTGGGAAAAAAAAAAAAAAAAAAAAAAAAAAAAAGAGGGTGTCCAACATATATTTTCTTCCAGGCAAACAAGAATGACAAAGGCCTCAACTGCCTGGAGTTAATCAATTTAGAAGATTTGATTGGATTGATGTCTTCAAACTCAATATTTTACACCATATTGAGTTTTAGGGAAGGGTTTAAATATAGAAATATTGTATAGAATATTTTTCATTATATTTGTACTTTTAATGTAGGATTATGATTATTTACCTTAGTAGTTGATTGTGTAATATTTAATTTTTGGTTTATTTCATTTTAGTGTTATTTGTAATCCTATACATAGGTCTTCTACATTATAATATTCAAGAGCTTACAATGTAATATTCATACGAGCTTACATTGTATAATATCATTCTTATTTTTTTAACATGGTATTAGAGCAATATTTTTCTTAACAATAATCCCCAATATTGGTTGCCATTATTCTGCCTATGTCAATTGAGTGCTTGTAGAGTCATAAATGATGTCGAAATTGCAGCAAAGGATCCACCGAGGATAAAATGAAGAGGATGCTGTTGACAACTTCAGTGTAGTCAACAACTCAACATCATACTTACCCCTTCAAGGCGATGGAGATCGATCATATGATAACCTCGACAAAGCGATGAATATCATAGAAATGATATTTATACAGATAAATTGTACTGATAGTTTTACAAGTGCTAAGATGGCAACACCTGATTGGTTGTTTTAACTTCATTTTAGATCCAAAATTCAATAAAATATTGTCAAGTGGGATTCTTCAAATCCATCTATGCGATTTGTCAGTACATGTAGCACTGTTATTAATACCACCATATATTCATTTGTTGAGTACATCATGCTTGTGCCAGTACATTTTATTCTTCGGTACAAGAAATTATACATTGTTCATTCTATTCTGCTTGTACCAAGATATTAGATTTACATTATTCTCCAAAAATCTTATAGACTAAGCTCGAAAATTTGATTTTAAAAAATCTGATGCACCGTCAATAGAAACTTCTCAAAAAAAAATTTTCATTCCAATTAGTTCACAACATCGGAATGTTTTATTTTCTTGCTCCACTTGCACAGATGATATTTGATAATAAAAAATTTCCACCAATTTTCTTACTGTTAGAAAATTGGATTCTTATTTTATGAGACAATTGTAGCTAAGTTCCAAACTTTCAATTTTTTGCAATTTTTATTCTAACTTTTCATTTATTGCAACTACGGTCAAACCATTGATTCCTGTGCAGTAAATGGACATATGAACTATATCTATCCGCACATCTGTTAGTTGATCAGAAAAATTGATTTTGCCTAATTGCTTACTGAGCTCGTATACCTATAGTTTAAGCCCAAAAAGGAGGGAAAATTGAAGCCCAAAAAGAATAAAATTATAGGAGTGTTTGTTTCTCATTTTTGTAAAAATCACAATGAAAAATATAGTCGTTATAAATTCCACACAAGAGATAGAAATTCAAATTTAGTGGCTTGAAATAATGGATAATGGTCATATTTTTTATTTTAATGAGAAAAGAATGAAAAACAAATGGGGGTTATAACTCATTAGACCATTTCTAATGAGACTCTATTTTTAAATAACATATTACATTATTTAAAGAGTATCTATAAATTTAGATTTTGAAGTACTCGTTCTTTCTATTTAACATTTAATCTTACTACTCCCCAAAATATTTATTATTTTTCTCTATCTTTCATTTTAATTAGCTTTTATTTAGATTATTTTATTATTTTTTTACATTGCAAATTGAAATATTTTGAATGCATTTAATTATATAGAATGATTCTCAAAATTATAATGTTAATTTAGATAGTCTCTTAAAACATGATTTTAAATGTTGACTCTTTTAAATGGAAAGCTTCTTATATTTAAAGTGTCTCTCGGAGATGCTCTAGCCCCCACTTCATTCCCCAAACCCAAACCCAGACATTTCATGAGGAAATACATGGTAATGGCCGATTGACTCAGCCATATTTTTATAATGGCCTAAAAAAAGTTAAAAGTGTCAGAAGTGAAATACCAAAAGCCAAAAGTACCCTCATCTTCATGGAAAATATTTGAGTGAAGGGGGGAAAACAGAAAAAACTCACACAATCTCTAAAAGTCAGGATCCAATTGAAGTTGCTATCCTCACAGTCTGACCACCACGCAACCCAGTCACCGATGGCATTATTTTCAACAAGGTTAGTTTTTTGTGGATTATGAAATTAATTTTTCATTTGTGATTTTTCAAAAATTTGTGCATTTTATGATGTTTATTTGTGGAGTATATGATCTTTATTTTTTTATTATTCAGGTATATAATAAAATGTAGTAGTGATTTAAGTTTTTTCTTTTTTGCCAAAAAATATCTTCTTTTAGTCAAAAATGGCAATTTTTCGACGAAAGAAACGAATATTCACCTGACCTAACTGTTAATAGTCGAGTTTAGCACCACTCGGTCTTGGGCAAATTGTTAATAGTTGACCCATCCGACTAAACAGTGGATGGGTTGACTATTAAAAACGATTTTTTGGGCCATTTTTTCATCATCTTTTTCTCTTTGTGATAATTTAATTTTTTCAATTTAATTTAAATAATATTTATGTTCTTTATTTAATTTTTATAATTTAATTTCTTAATTTGATTATTATTATTATTTTGGAAATAGTTTCAAAATTTCTTAATTGTTTTCATCATACTATAAATAAAGTTTTTCCAATTTTAAATTCTTTAGTTCTTTTCTTTTTATGATAAAATTATTTTTTTTAAATTTTAATTAAATAATATCTGTATTCTTTATTTAATTTTTATAATGTCCTTTCGTTTAAATTTTTTTTTATTATTATTATTTTTGGTAATAATTTTAAAAAAGTTTAATTGTTTTTTCTTATTATAATTTAATTTTTTTCAATTTAAAATACTTTTTAATACTCTTTCTTTATTTCTTTATATTTTTTATAAATTTTATAATTTAATTTTCATTTTTTATTTTTGCCATTAATTTGTATTTATTATTTTTGTTTCTTAATTTTTTTTTTAAATTTCTTAATTATTTTTGTTTATCATAATTTATTTTTTTTTCAATTTAAAATGCATTTTTATATTCTTTCCTTAATTTTTATATATTTTTTATTACATTTTATTTTTTATTTTTGTCTGTAATTCTTTTTTCTCCTTTAATTTATTAAATCATTTCTTTTTTTATTAACTTCGATATAAAAAGAATCTATTTTTTGCGTATAATAGTTTTAATTTGGTTCGCTTAATTTTCTAATATTATACTTTATTCCATTGTCTTTTGTAAAAGTTCTGGTATTTAAATTTTTGTAAGATGGAGTACCATCTCGATCCTGAGTTGAGCCAGATGGTGGAAAATGTACTTGGAATAGCTATTTTGACATTTTTACTGCAGTATGGGAGTGATTCGATGATCAACACAGAAATATGCTACGACGGTCTGTAACCTCTGATGAGTTAAGAGAAGTGCAATACTTTGGGCAGATCATAGAGGTATTACTATTGCTCGGCTGCTTAGTTTAGTCGACGACGGTGCCCTCCATTTAAACCTCGAGAGCCAGGTCACTAATTTCTCTATGTCTGAGTTTGCCCTGATGACAGGACTGAAGATTGCATAGAGCTTTTAACATGGGTTTTCAAATCTGTCTAAATATCGATTTTATAATGGTCACATTTACAAACTGTCAAAGGAAGTTGGGGTTGGCGAATTTCATTAGCAATG